ACCGACTGAGCCACCCAGGTGCCCTATTTATTTATTTTTCACTGGAGAATTGTTGACAAACAATGTTCCATTAGTGTGAGGGGTACAACACAGTGATTCGACAACTCTATATGTTATGCTGGGCTCACCGCAAATGTAGCTCCCATCTGTCACCATCCAAGGCTATTACAGTACCATCGGCTATATTCCCTATGCTGCAACTTTTAACCTGATGACTTACTCATTCTAACTGGAATGCCTGGATTTCCCACTCTCTTTCACCCATTTCACCCATCCCCCCACCCTTAAATCACTCACTTGAAAATGATGAATTTTATGATATGCGAATTATATCTCAGAAAAAGGAAATGCTGTATGCCTATAGATAGGAAGTTTCTGTGCATCTGAGGAGACTTCTATTTAATAGGTTAAGCAAAGCAGAGGGTAGCTCTCACTTATTATGAAGCTTTTCCCCCAAGGGAGTACATTTCCGCTATAGTATTTTCATTCATTCATTCAACAGATAGTCACTGAGCACATGCTATGTACAAGAATCATGGCAGTATCTGCTTCCACTTGCCTGTTGTTGCTTGAAGGCCTCAACAAGTAAATCAATGTCAGTAAAAGTGAGAGGAAATTGCAGCCGAGGACCATTATAGGAGTCTGGGACGTCTATGAATGAGGCATACTCCTGTCTATCCTTGCAGTCCTGGAGGGTGCTACCAAGAAGTCGAGCAACTAATTCTGGAAAAGGAAAGACAGAAAGGGTGGGGGAATCAACATTCCCATACTTAAATTCAATAAATACCTTCTTGAATATCGACCCCACATGAGGCACTGTGCTACATGTTATGAATACCAAGCTATCCCACATATAATCATGAGGAAGGATTTGTTCTCAGTTCATTAGGTACATTTACATGAATCACCCTCATCCCTTCCCGAGTGGACACTGTACCAAAGCAGTGAGTTCATTGGTGGGGAGGAGAAGGAGAAACACAGGGAAAACTGGGCAATCAAGGCACTTTGATGCTCTGAAACTCTACCTCTACATTTTTTGCCTACTCTTACATCTCAGATTTTTACATATCGGGCTGAACACATAACAATGTATCGCATTTGATTCAAACATCTGTGCTATTCAGAAAATTAAACTGCAACATTCAATTTTTCCCCTGTTAAACACTTTTCACATAAAAACAGATTTTCTGACATGATTTTCTTTTTCTTCTTGATAACAAAGCAGATAAAGTTAGATGATGAAACACAGGCAGAAATACCCATAGGGTCTCTCTCTCAGAGAAACATTTCTGTGTAACAGATCGCCTGCACTGCCCATTTCAGTAGGTGCTGAGATCCAGGGTCCCTTTCTTGCTAGGCTGCCTATAAAAAAAAGTCAGCCCAAGAACAGAAATCTGGCCAATTCGGTTGTAGAAAGAGGAAAGTGGGTATGGTAGACTGATTGCAAAAGTGACCCCGATTGTCTATCCCAACATTTAGCCTGGCTCTTTTTAATGCGATTTGCAGCTACTCTCATCAAGAGTTTATTTCCCCAGGCTTTGAATCTGGGTTGTGGGGTTCATGACCTGTGTTGGCCTAAAGAATGTGGTGGAAGTGTTACGTACCATTTCCAAGTCAAGACCTCAGAAGGCCTTGTATGTTTCCATGCTCTCTCTTTCGAACCCAAGGTACTAGCACAAAGCGCAGGCTAACCTAATGAAAACTCCAAGACTATGGGGAACAAAACTGAGTCACCCCAGCCAAGGCCATCCCAGATCAGCCATTAGCCAGCAGACCTCCAAATACATGAGTGAACTCTCGCCAAGAGCTGAGGAAAACTGCCAAATCAAGCCTGTCAAGATCAGCAGAAGTACTCAGATAACCTGTAGACTTGTGGGCAAAAGAAATGTTTATTACATGCCACTGAGCTATTGTGGTTGTTTAATACACAGAATTATTTCATTAACAGATAACGGATACAGAGGATGGTGATGTATTCTTCAACTCATTAACAATTGCTACCAAGCCAATGGGAATCAGAAGTTTTCTGCAAGTAGTTTCTATCTTTTTGAATATTTAGAGTAGACATGTTTGGAAAGTGTGACGTTAGCAGATGTAGATAGAATGCATGTTTTTTCATGATCCAGTTATGCTGAGAGATTAGAGTTAAGAACTAAACTTGAAAAGAAAAAACTTGCTAAAATAAGTCATGATATTTGGTAATTTAAAAATGCTTTCTAAATTATTGTGTACCCACTCCAACACTTCTTTGGTGGTGGTTGATGATGTTTTATAAGAAGTTAGATGTAGGAATAATAAGGTGTGTCTTCAGTGTGGTCCAGCGCAGTGTATTTTTCTCATTTGGATTTGGTTTGAGATTTGAGAATCACTTAATTATTCCATTTTATGTTTGAAAACTAGAAATGCAGAGCAGCTTGGTAAATTTTATCTCAGATTCCATCGTGCAAGCAGTAAAGCCTCAATACTCTACTTAACTGTCTTCATGATCATACCATTCCGTTCTTAGAGATACATCTTCCTGACTCTACACACTGAAATATTGGGCTCCTCTTGGGAAAACAACAATAACAACAAAGAAAGACAAAAACAACCCCGCTGGTCTCACTATATCATCTTATAACTGACTTACTGAGTAATCCCACCTGTGTGTTTTTCTTCTTTAAAGCAAACAAACAAAAAGCTTGGTCTGGCCCTTCTTTCCATATGTTTGTTCACCTTCATTTCTTATAAGTTCTGTGATAAATATACGAAAAAGCACCATTTCCCTAAGCCATTTCTTAGTCAAAACTACTCAATATGAAATATCAGTAAACATCAAATCACAATCCTTTTGCTGACTTTTAGCCACATTTAAAAAAAAATAACATAGATTCTCTTCCTGATATGGGTAGCTAATGTGGGTCATATATGAAAACAATCAGAAGCTGTACCAATTCGAATGCAAGTAGTATGGGCTGTAACTATTATAACTAATAAGAATAATTTAATGAATGCCAACAATATGAAAAGATTTGTGCACCATGTAATTTGAATGAACCTTTACCTGTTTGATTTACAATTCTGTCAACATGAATCTAAACTAATTAAATATAATGAAATCTTGAATTATAACCAAATGATACCTTTACAAGTTGTTCTAAAGAAAATATCTCAAAACTACCCCCCACATATAATCTTTTCTTTTACCCAGTACAAATTCAAAAACTGGACAGGGAACATGTTAAAGCCCATAATTAAAAAAAAAACAACAATACACACACACACACACACTTTCTGCCCCTACTGCCCATGTGTCACTTTGAAAACAAGCTACAGATATGGCTGGGAAAAGAAAAGCACCAATTGAACTGCATTTTATAGCTATTTCATTTCTCAGTTATGAATCTGGATTAAAACTATGAGTGTCCATATAATAAACTCAAGAAATGGCAAAACTGCATTTCATAAGATTCAACACCTGTTCCTGATTATTTAAAAACTCAGAAAACTAGGAATGAAAGCCTACCTCCTTAACAGAATTCTAAAAATTTAAATCAACAAGAATGGTTTTTTCCATTAAAGCATTAACAAATCACGATGCCTAGTTTCACTGCTTACTTTTCACATTGTTCTGCTATTTCTAGCCAATGCAACAAAATACAAAGCTGAAATAAGAGCTTGGATAGAAAGAGGTAAAAATAAAGTTACTTGTGCCCAGTGTGATTAAATATCCATACTCAGGAAAATCAGTTGAGAAACTCCCAGAACTGATAGGAGAATTCCATACTACAGAGGTTTGAACCACAGCTTTACCACTGCTGAGATGAATAACCTTGGGAGGTCACCTTCTAAGCCTCAATATTCTTATCCAACAAAAGGGGATGATAATAATACTAATCTCAGTGGTTTGTCATGAAGACTAAATGAAATATTTAAAGCACTTAAAAGACATGGCACATGGCAAACATGTAATAGATACCAGCAATAATAATAATTAATAATAATAATAATAAGTTCATTCATGCTATTGTTCAATAGTAGCACAATACAAATAGATATAAGTCAAAGGCTTGTTAAATACTACCAATAATCACTGGGGAGATATCATGGGGAAAATAACCTACTGGCCATAGCCACAAAAAAATATAAAATACCTGGGTCTGATAGGACATTTTGGCTGATCTGGGAAGCAGAAAGGATAGTCAAAACAACACTTGCACACGCTCCATCCCACTCCCCACTTCCACCAGTCTCTGTTTAAACCTATTGCTCTGTACAGCAGCTTTGGCTTTCTACCTTATGGGATGGATGTGTTGAGTCTCCCCATCAAGTCCTACAAACTGGTTTGAGCCACTAAGTAGTAGGACACGGAAATGAATGGCTTCCAGATCACCTCCTACCTATGGAACACCCAGGATGTCTCAACTAACACTGTGCCTCAGAGTTAAAACCATTAGTCTGACGATATCTGGGAATGTTAAGTGATCTTCTGGTCCCGAAATACACCCTGCTTAGCAGTCCTGGCGCTTCTGCAAAACAGGCCTAGGTGGATGTTGTGTGGAACCTTCCCACCAAAGAAGGCCATCAGAAAGCAACCCACAGTAATGTACAGCACCGTGACCCTAGTTAACACTACTCTTAGTGTATGCTTGAAAGTTACTAAGAGAGTACATTTTTAAAGGGCTCACCACACACAAAGGACTTGTAACTGTGAGGTGATGGATGTGTTAACCAACATTGTTGTGGTAATCATTTCATAATATATTCATATATGAAATCACTGTAGTGTATATCTTAAACTTCTACAGTGTTATATGTCAACTATATTTCAATAAAGCTGGAAAAAAAATTTTTTTTTAAGATTTTATTTATTTATTTGACAGAGAGAGACACAGCGAGAGAGGGAACACAAGCAGGGGGAGTGGGAGAGGGAGAAGCAGGCTTCCTGCAGAGCAGGGAGCCTGATGCGGGGCTCGATCCCAGGACCCTGGGATCATGACCTGAGCCGAAGGCAGACGCTTAACGACTGAGCCAGTCAGGTGCCCCGTGGAAAAAATTTTTAAAAGAAATCAACCTACAAAAGTAATCTGCAAATTAATTTTTCCATTACACACAATAATTAAATCGGTAAGATTCTAGGACTCTATAATATAGAGATGTATAAGAGAATAGAGGCCTAGAAATATGCCCTAATACATATTTTTTAAATGAATACATGGTAAAGGAGGCACTACAAACCATGGTGAAAAGATACGTTATGAAATAAACATTGTGGGAAAAACTGGTTAACTACTCGGACATTTTCTTTTTAGCTGTGCTCTTTGTTTTCAACCACAAGGCATCAAGATATCCTTTTTTTTTTGGTTTAATATAAAAAATCCCAAATTTATGAAGTGTTAAAAATTTTAAAAGTCAAACCATAAAAAAAATCTAGAAATCCAGGCATAGCGATCCACATTTTAAATATTTCAAGGCCTTCTAAGTTTAAAAGCAGGGATTCACAAAGAAAAAGATATTTAGACTTGAAAGATATTTTAAATAATTAATTGGTAAAAACTTTCTATACCTGATGGAAAATATCAACCTAGATATCACAGAAGCTCAAGCAAACCCCACACAGGATAAAATATAAATGAAGCATCATCAAGGCTCATTATAGTTAAAGCCCTATTTTCCAATGTTACTTAGGTTAGTTTGTTTCTTCCCCAACTCCAAGAGGTGATTCTGTTACTTGTAATACAGTTAAATTCATTTGTCATGTGTGTATTCTATTTTGGAAATACACATACATACATTCTTTTCTTGTTTGTAAAAATTTTTTTAA